CGAGACGGCGAATCCGCCTATGATAGAAGGCTCCTCCCTCAGGACCAGCAGCAGGGTGTCAGGACAGAAAGCCCGGGACTTGGCGACCGCTCGTACCTTGCTTGACTCGGGACTCCTTGGTGCTGACAACGGCGGAGGGGGGCGGCCTGGCCACAGGTTTCTTATTTTGAGCCTCCACAGCAGCTCCGGCCTCAGCAGATTTCGCTCTGGAAGCAGACACGGCGGCCCGGACGGCCGCGGCCCCTGGCGCCTTGTGTTTCTTGTTCTTGCCGCCCATATTCCAACTGTGGCAGAAGATCCTTCCCGGCTCAGGCCCAGGCCGACAGTTCTTCACATACCTCTGCGCCCGCGGGGCCACCCGGAACCTTCCATCCGGGCTTCTCAGACCTAGCGGAGCCGCTGCTTCGCAATTGGTCCGATCCACCAAGGCTCCGCCCTCCCCTCCCCTTACCGCCCCCCAGGTGCCTGCGGCATGCGAAGTGTCGGGCGCCCTGTGCCGCACACCGCGCTCCCTATTTAGGCCTTCTAGCTGACTATCTACTAGTGGCAGGAAAGGTCTGAAAAGAGAAGGTAATCGGGCAAAAATTCCCGGCGGCCTTGTGACTCGAATACGTTTGACTCTCACGGGCCACTATTGAGCCCTCACTGCACGTCACTGTCGGTGCGGTCGCGGGGCATAGTGGGTAAGAGGGAGATTCGTTCTCACTGCTCCAAAAGATGGCGGACGCTTTCGGGGACGAACTTTTCAGCGTGTTCGAGGACGACTCGACCACTGCAGCCGGAACCAAAAAAGACAAGGAGAAGGGGAAATGGAAAGGGCCCCCAGGGTCTTCAGAAAAGGCCGGGTAAGGTTCCTATGAGTTGGAATCGACTGGAGGGCAACGGGCTTGGTTTGGTTTTGCTTTGAGGAGGACGTACAACATGTATTTCTGTTCTTTTGGGTGCTGACTCTCTTACGAAGAGCACGAGGACGTGGGATGTACATTGAGTGGCATCAGGAACGGAAAGGGGGTTTGAGAAAAAAGGTTGGGGAGGGAGGAAGGGAGGAAGAAAGTCTGTTGGTTTGGGAAAAGCGGGTTATTGACGTTCCCCGGTGTCCGCAGGCCACGTGAGCTCTTGCTGCATTTGTCGTACGCTTACTTTGGTGACTCCACCCGTCTTTCCGGTGTGGTCTTGGGACAGGTAAGATTGTCTTTGGTTCTGTACCCCCAGCACCAGCCCAGTGCCTGACACATCGTCTTTAATAAAACAAAAATTAAAGGACCCTGGTGGTGCAGTGGTTAAGAGCTCGGCCGCTTACCGAAGAGTCAGCAGTTTAAATCCACCAGCCGCCCCTTGGAAACCCTGTGGGGCGGTTCTCCGCTGGCCTGTAGGATCGCTATGAGTTGGAATCGACTCGACGGCAACGGGATTTAGTTTGGTTTTGGAGTGGAAAGGGCAGATAGCAGCAAGAGGGAAAGATTTCCAAGGTGTAGTTTTCTCGTCCATAAAATGGAGGTAGTAGTGCTTACCACTAGACTTGATGTGAGGGTTAAATGAGATACAGCATATGAAGCGCTTAGCATGCTTAGCACCTAACGAACTGAAATAAATGCTAGCTATCACTGAGTTTAAGAAAAAAAAAATTAAATTGCTGGAGTGTGAACATACGTCAAGATTGATGTGTATAACACAGAAGTATATGACGTGCTGTTTATAGGAGCACAAGGAAAAGATAAGACTTGAATTAGTTAAAATAAGATGGTTCATTTTTAATCAACAAAAATTTACTCTTGGCATTGGGGAAGATACCCAGTAGATGTTTGAATTAAATTAGGCATGATTTTGCTCTCAAGGAATTTTCAGTCTAGGTAGATAGTTTAGGAGATAAAACAGGTTAGTAGGTAATGGAGATAAAATGAGTGGTATATACAGTTAAGTGCTATAATAGTTCAGGAAAGAGAGAGCTTATCTATTGGTGATGTTCAGGGAGACTTACATGGAGGAGGATATTCCCAGTTGAGGAAATGAGACATCACTGGTGCCAAAATTTTGTAGGGGCACATACGGGGCCAGATGGAATGTTTGTTTAGGAGACTACAAGAGGTGAGGCTGATAATATAAGTTGATTTTAGATTATGAGGGCCTAGACTATCATGCAGAGGTGTTTTGATTTCATTTTGAAAGCCCTGGTGAACAAGGATTTTTGTGGTTTTTAACTCTCCCGTCCCCAACTTGGTGATTGGATAAGTAGAGTGATAGTTTAGTAAAATTAATTTGGTAGTGGTTGACAGAGTATATTGGAAGATGATAGATACTGATGGTAACAAGGTATATTAGGAAAGTATTTTGGTTATCTAGCTATATGATGAAAAGAACCTCAACTTAGGAGGTGGCAGAAGGAAGGAAAGATACAAATACGGTGTAAAGGAAAAAAAATGACAGGCCTTAATTAAGGGAAACAGTGGAAAAGGGATCAAAAAAGACAGAATTTGGATTTTAGGGAGAAAAATTGGGAAATTCAGAGGAGATTTTGATCTGGAGATAAAATTTGGTTTGAGACAAAGTGAGGTGATGGTAGTACATCTTTATGGTAATAAATGTGCATCAGGCAATCTTTTTGTAGACTTGGAGAGAAACCAGAACTGGAGGTATATATTTGGAAGTCATTTGAGTCGGTACTGGTTGAGAAGGAGATCTCTTTGGGAACGTATAATGAGAGCACACTTAACACAGAACTTCAGGAGAATATGCATAAGCTAGCAAACAAGGCTGAAAGAGAGATTAGAGGGATAGCAGAAAGATTAGAAGTGTGAAATGTCACAAAACTAAGAGTAGAGGTCTCAGGGAACATCAAGCTGAATTGGCATAACACAGTTTATAAAGACAATGTTCTACATTCTACCTTGGTGAGTAGCATCTGGGGTGTTAAAAGCCTGTGAGCAGCCATCTAAGATACTCCACTGGTCTCACCCCTTTGGAAGCAAGGAAGAATGAAGAGAATAGGATACAAGGAAAAGATTACTCCGAAGGACTAATGGACCACAGCTACCACGGCCTCCACCAGACTGAGTCCAGTTTAGCTAGATGGTGCCCGGTACCACTACTGACTGCTCTGGCTGGGATCACAACAGAGGGTCCTGGACAGAGCTGGAGAAGGATGTAGAACAAAATTCTAACTCACAAAAAAAGACCAGATTTACTGGCCTGACAGAGACTGGAAAAACCCTGAGAGTATGGCCCCTGGACACCCTTTTAGCCCAGTGGTGAAGTCACTCCCGAGGTTCACCTTTCAGCCGGGGATTGGACAGCCTCATAAAACAGAACGGGACTAATGAGGCACAGCAGTCCAGGGACAAGGACTAGAAGGCAGGAGGGGACAAGAAAGCTGGTTGTAGGGAACCCAAGGTTGAGAACGGACAGTGTTGACATAATCATCGGGTTGTTAAGCATTGTTATAGGGGAATATGTGTATTAGTGGTTTAATGAGAAACTATTTGTTCTGTAAACCTTCATCTAGTGTACAAAAAGCATTATCTCTGTGAGATCAAACTGACAACAGCAACTCAAGAGGTTTGATGGGAAGCCTAGGGGGCAGTGAGTTGGAGGTAATGGTGATGGAATAATTTGGAAAAGGATAGTGAGAATAGCAGCACAACTGGAAGAATGTAATCGATGTCACTGAATTGTATGTGTAGAAACTTTCGAAATAGTGTAACTTTGGCTATGTATATTTTCACCAAAAAAAAAAAAAAAGCTCCTCCAAGGTCGAGAAGGGAGAGTGTTGACATGTCGTGGGGTTGTTAACCAATGTCATAAAACAATATGTGTACTGACTGTTTAACGAGAAACTATTTGTTCTGTAAACCTTCATCTAAAGTACAATTAAAAAAAAATTTAAAAAAAAGTAAGAGTAGAACAAAGTGGAAAACAGTCTTCCTCTTTCTTGAGGTGGAGGGAATGGGAGTTTTTCTGGAACTTTTCAGTGAAAATGAGAAAGGAATTATTTTATTAATAGTTACTAGAGCGTTTAAATGGGTAATTGATATTATGAGTCCCTAGGTAGTGCAAATGGTTAAGCGCTGGACAACTGACTGAAAGTTTGGCAGTTCAAATCCACCCAGATCAGAGGCGCCTTGGAAGTAAGGCCTATTGATCTGCTTCTGAAAGGTCACAGCCTTGAAAACCCTATGGAGTGCAGTTCTACTCTGCACACATGGGCTTGCCGTGAATCAGCATCGACTCAGTGGCAGCTAACTGCAACGTGATATTATGAAGACAATAATATATATAATTTCCCACTTCGGTGCATAAAACAAAACCAGAACCCAACCAGTTGTCTTCAACACAATTCTAGCTTATTGCGACCTATGTGTGTTAGAGTAGAACTGCAGGTTGATTTTTCAGAAGTAGATCACCAGGCCTTTTTCCAAGACACCTCTGGATGGACTGGAACCTCCAGCATTTCATTTAGCAACCAAGTGCATTAACTGTATGCAACACCCAGGGACTCCTGGCAGGTGATAGACTAGTTATTTTGTAGATGTTGTTCAGTTTGGGTTTGTTGGTCGATTTGTTGTACCTCAATTTGTTGCTTGGGTTTAATGGCCAAGTTTGGTGCTCTTTTTAGTGCCTTATATAGAGCATGCTGTCTTTATGAAATTCTGGAAGTAACATTTTAAGGTTTCACTAAACTAGACAAAACCTTATTCTTTAAAGGTAAGCTGGTTATCTACAATACTTTATTTCCAGCCTTTCTGGGTAACTGAGGTGTTTTATTGTGCAAGTTCTGTATATGACATAAATATGAAGGTATAGGAGAAGTAAATATTTGGAGACCTAAGAGTCTGGTGTGGAATATTAACTCTACCATGAATTTAGGTTTTAAACTTCTCAAAGGTATAGCAACTGTGATTTTTCTGTTTTATAGCCTTCACCAGCTCCAGGTAAACCAGTTGTGTCAAGTCAACTCCAATTCTTGGTGACCCCATGTGTGTCAGTGTAGAACTCCATAGGGTTTTCAATGGCTGATTTTTCTGAAGTAGATCATCAGGCCACCTCTGAGTGGACTTGAACCACCAACCTTTTGGTTAGCCTTGTCCTAACCTTTTTCAACACCCAGGGACTCCAGTTCCTAGTATGTTTTAAATAAAGGGTTTAGTAGAAGTTTACTCAGACAGAATAATAGTGTTAGAACCTGAAGCGATCTTAGCTATAGTTGTTCATCGTTTTCCTCATGAGGAAACTGAAGCCCAAGGATATTAATGGTTTGTTCAAAGGAGATTATGTTCTGTAATCACAAGAGTAGTCAACAGCATACCTTTTCCACTAAATTGAAAGTGACAGGATTTACAGATTTCAGCTTTGAATAATGAATGAACTTCATTATGGAAAGGCTGTTCAAGCATACAGATGAATCCTACTCTGTGTTACTGAGGTAGATTAATTAATTTTGTGTGTGGCCTTTCTAGCCATGGTCTTCTAACTCCTACCCAGGTGATTGTGTGATAGGGTAATCGTGGCCTACCAGGTTATTGGTCAGTTTTGCCTTAAAAGAGAGCCAATTCCAGAGGAGAAGGGAGGAGCCCACCACCACCAAGGAAGGAGAGACCAGCAGCAGACACCCGGCAGCAGGAGACGGCGTGGTCTGCTTCCCAGGCCGCAGAGAGAGAAAGCTGAGTGCCTTTGGGGCAGAGACTGAGGGCCAGGGAGAGGCTATCCTGATGGAAGAGCTGTATCCTAAGTGTTCTTGAGCCTGAATTGTAACTGGTACTTCCCTAATTGTAACTGGTACTTCCCTAATAAACCCCATAGTTGTGACCATGGTCTGTAAGTTGTGTATGACCATTGCAGTGAGTTACTGAAC